TAAAGCCTATTTTCTCCTACAAATAAGGCAGAACAAAATTAGTGCCACAACATTTAAAACATTGGGTGAAAAAAGATCCACAACAAAAACAGGGAAAGGCAATAATACACACCTCCAAAAAGGTGTGTACCATGTGCCCATTTATAACCAAAAATGGTCTTTGGTTATAAATCAAAGTGGTGTTTGTTATGAATTGAAGTTATGGTGGCGGTTATAAACTAAAGTGGTGTTTTGGTTATGACCCAAAGCGATGTATGACCCAAAATGGTGTTGGTTATTATAACCCCAAATCGTGTTTGGTTAGGAGACAATGTTGTCACTTGTGAGGTAAAGTGGAATTTGGTCGGAGGAGCTAGGGCATTCTAAAATGGGTGCCGTGTCCAACACGTGTTGGACATTGATAAGACGTGGACATGTGTATCCACGTACCATGCCAGTTTTTTAAATTATTATCTTATTGCTAGACATGTTGGGACACTTCATAGACACATATCTGTGTCTGGACATGTCTCCAAACACTGTTGAGTTTATACATTTATTTTATTTTATAATTTTAGAAAGTTTTTTGGGTTTAAAGTAAAATGTGGGAAAAAAAAAACAAACCATTTCTCTCATTTCTTTGTATCCTAAATTTATATTACATATATAGCAAATAAAAGCATATAAAAAAATATTTATTATTTCCATATACTGCGGTGTCTGTATCCTAATTTTTTGAATATGGTTGTGTCATATTTGTACCAGTGTCTGTGTCTGTGCTTCTTGTTAAATTATGAGGTAAAGTGGTGTTTTGGTTATGAGCCAAAGTGGTTTTTGTTATGAGACAATTGTATTGTGCCATTTGTTTTGGAAACATGAACACTTTAGATCGTAACCGGGCATGCGGTACACATCTTTTGAGGGTACCATAGAATTAGCCAGCAACATAATATCTCTGTTTAGCCACATCCAAAAACACTACTACTATTATTTCTATTTATTTACCTGCTGTATAACTTCATGAGAAGCACCATCTTGAGAAGCATGTCCAACAAGATGCGCAAGAAGCCTTCTGTTACCCACATTCGAGGCAAAAATAACCACAGTGTGTCTGAAATCTACCGTATGTCCATCAACATTACTCAATGTACCTTGATCAAGGACAGAAAGTAAAGCACTGAAGACAGAAATGTGTGCCATCTCAACTTGTGAAAATAGAAGAATGCTGTGTGGCCTCATCTGGACAATTTCTAGGAGTGGAACACCATGTTGGCTATGGCTACTACATCAGAATATCACAAACGAATAAGTCATTCAAGCTAACAAACAGTAATACAGAAGTCGAAGGACACATAACCAACCACATAAAATAATCTTGGCCATACACATTAGGTGGTGAGGCCTTCCATTAAAGAGACTGTTCCTCTTAGATTGTGCCAACTGTTTTTCTGTGGCTGGTTCTGTATCCCTGGACTTATTGATGGTAATATAACAAGCAACCTATGATTAGCAGCCAAAAATTTAAAAACAACCAAATGGAAGTGTAAAGAGACCATACAATGGAAGCTCTAGAGGCCCATGGATCAACTGGAAAAGCGAGTCTGGGTCTCTGTATTTAGACGAGTCAATTTGAATAAGTAGGTCCGTCCCATCATCACATATAAAATTCTCAGCTACACTTCTTACAAAATCAGCCTGACCAACCCTTGTAAGACCCAAAAATAGGAGTGACATAGTGGGTCGATGTGGCAGATCATGTGGTGCAAGAATTGATTTCAACATTGCCTCTGCTACGACATCAATTGCTTCCTGATTTTGACCCACCACTCTGTTGCACAATACCATGCAAAGACCCTGCACTTGATTCTTAGCCCTCTTGGTAGACCTTTCAGTGTCCGTAGGTTGTGTCTCCTCATTGGAATAGTTTAAAGGTGCCTACAAGAAGACATTGGTAAATAAGAACCAAAGCAAAATACCAGTGAATCCATTCAAGAGCAATGCTACCTAAGCAGGGGCAGAACCAGGATTTTGTAATGGGGGGTAAGCTTGGAAGACAAACTTTCATCTATTGATATAATCATATTATTTTAAGTTTTCTTTGCTGGTGTTTCTAAGTCCTAGCATGAGAATATATAAGGATGCAAAAAAAAAAAAAAAAATGTACGAAAAGTAAAACAATTTCTATTCAGTCTCAACAAAATTGGGGAAAAAAGAAGACAAAAGTAATTGTTCCTTTGTAATTTCAACTCAATTGGGTCAGGTCGCAAGTGAGTAGTTGATCAAAGCCTCCCATTTTTATTTTTTTTCCTCTTTGCATTTGTTGATCAAAGCCTCTTGATTGCCAGGGGAAAAAAGAAATAAAAAAAATTCAAGTCTTGATGTTGTTCTATACAAAGAAGTGGAGTCATTGAGTAGTGAAAAACATATGAACTTAGAGCATCTCCAATTACGAGAGAAGTAAAACTAAAGAGGGTGGTCAAATTTTAGTTATAACTAAATCTGGTATCAAATTTGACATAAATTTAAGAACGCTGAAATATAACACAAAATTTAGTCAGTCATTACAGAGCTGAAAATTGAGCTTCATGTTATTTTTTTTTGGCAATAATAAGCTTTTTATCATATATGATTAGAGAAAGTCTAATCAAACAGTAGCTAGAAAACAAAACTAATGAAAGAGTTGCTGATAAGCTTTTTATCCTATTTTTTTATTTCATGGAATCCATTTGCTTCTATTTGGTGGTAGATAAGGTCCACTTTTTATCCTTTTTATCCTATTCACTGATATGGATTTTATTGAGTAAGAGAAAAAGGGTAAGCCTCATAGCCCACTGTAAAACAGGAAAATTGAATCTTCATCAATTATATACAATACACACAAGAGGGTTACTGGAAAAGTGGGGGTGCCATGCCACCCTCCTTACAGAAGATAGTTCCGCCCCTGCACCGAAGTACTCAAAAAATACTCAAAGAAATGCTTCAAAATTGCAATGTGTGGAAAAGGGTGTGACACACCACAAAGTTCAAATTACACTACATATTCAATTTCTAGACATTTTTCTAAGTATTTTTTTGGGCACAATGGCATTTTGTTAAGCAAATTGTGTTATTTATCCTACAAAAGCAAATGCGAAAGAGCAGGATAATGAGTACCAGTTTATTCTGACTGGGTGTCAAATTGACATCGACTGTATTCCTTATGAGATCATCCACTGTACTAAGCAACTTTTGGACTACTTCAGCAACACAGCCGAAATCTGCCACGGCATTTGCATTCAGGAGATTCATCAACTGAAAAAAGTTTCGTCTCAAAGTGTAGATCATATTGATTCGTTCCTTCTCTTTGCGGTACATGATTCTCAATTCCCTAAAAGATTCTTTGAAGTGCTTCAAGAACAGGTCTTCCACGTAAGAACCACGCTTCTCCAATCTATAAGACAGTTCCTTTGTTCCCACCAGGGCATCTATGTAAACCGCAGACATATCATCTATTTCATTCTTTGTAAGCATATCAAACAACAAAGGGACCACATTCTCCTCGAGCAAAATCCTCAAGACCTCTCCACCCTGAACACAAAAAATGGAAACAGTTGTTTTATGTCTATCACATCAAACATCTTAGAAAAGAGACTGCATACTGATTTATACAATAATACAGAGGCGGCTCCACCATATGGTTTGGGTATTCAAATGTTTTTAATATAATTAATAGTAATACAAATATTTTTAATTTAGTCTAATATTGAATACCCAACTCATCAAGTCTGCATACCCATTAGCCCAATTTTGAATATCCAACTCATTTGTCCACCCACAAAGATAGTCCATCGCCAAAAACAAAACGTTAATGGTAAAAAATATGTAAGTAATAATAACACCGAAAGTTAAAACGGTGGATATGTTACTTTTAAGTTCTATTTAGTTTACTAAAATGAGATCAAATGGAATGAAATGGTCATTCTTTGTGCTTCCCTATGGAATGATCATTTTCTTATAATAATGAATGAAAATTCCATTTGTAATCTATTTATTTATTCAACCAAACATGAGTGTCAGGGCAGATATGACTGAGCAGTTTGGGCCAAATGGACCACTGGGCTCATGTGTTGCTAAACCAAGGGGACCCATTATGACCTAACACATTTGGGCAGCCGGACTAGAATTTGGCCATGGATGTGTGTGCACCTAGGCCCAACTTCTGCGTTTAGTTATTGGGCCAAGATGCTAAAGGAATGCCCGGTGGGTTGCGGTTCACATAAGTGACTGGGCAGGGCAAGGCATATGGTAGTAATGGACTTCAACTGGACAAGCATTCACCAAAAGTATCTTGCCCACTTAACGGTTTGGACCGGCTAGGCAAAACCAGCGGGAGCATATTTGCTAGGTTGGTTTATCCAGCTCGGTCTAGTTATCTGATTAGCTAGTAGTGGAGGTGTATACAATGCTGGGTCTTTTGGATAGGCATTATCTGAAGGAATAAGAGTCTAAGATGGACATAGAGTCCTATTTCGACCCAAATGGATGTAAAAAACGATTATAAAAGAAGTCAATAATGATGTGGAAAAGGATTCAACCTTTTTTCACTTTGCTTTGTGCCTTCCTTCCTTGTTATTGATCCTAGTTCTAACTTAGGCATTGGAGGGGCTTTTCCGACACATACTCGCCAGTTAGTTCACCACTACTATTTTGTAGAGGCTCAAAAGAAGGTTTCGATCATGTATTGCTCACGTGTGGAGAAATCTGTGTCCGTACAATGAGAATCCCAATATTGATAAAAAGACCATTCCATTCTATTCAATTTCAGTGAACCAAACACTATCTTTAAGTAAAAAGCCAAAAAAGAGAAGATTTGTGGGGTCAATGTGTTGTATCTCTATGTGTATGTGATTCCATGGATAGATGATGCCTGTTAGTGATTTCATGGTCATAGATGATATTTAAACTTTGTCGGATGTGTTAAGGAAAAAAAAAATGGAGATGATACTTTGCTGTCAAATACTTTTTCTTTCTAGAAATTACAATTTGTTTAAACTTGATAAGAAACACTTTCAAATTATACAAACTAATTTGCTAGTTAACCATTGACATAATGATATATATATTTTGAAGATTGTTCACTTGAGTTTATAATTACTCTTTTAATTGTATTTTTTCTATGACATATTTAGATAGTTCTTCTTCTTTTCTTTTCTTTTTTTATTTTATTTTATTTTTTTATAATTGAGACTTTTAAGTCCAAAATATGCAATCTCGTCGAGAACCGTTGTAATATTTTATGTCTTGCAAGTTTTTTTTGTCAAAATGTTAATATCAATATATTTCAGTTCACTTTTATATATGATTTTTTAATAAAGTTGGTAAAGTTTATTTTAACGAATAATACCACAGATTAATTAAAACATGAATGATGCTGATGTTCTTAGCTTTAGATTAAACTTTGGGTTGTAGATGAGCAGCTTGAGCAGATATTCAATCAGCACTGATGATCAAGGCCCCTAATCTAAGTAATCACACAAAAGATTAACGTGTACCAAAAAAAATATAAATTTGCAGTTCACATAAATAAGGTGGCATCACATTTGTGCTTCCTTTCCGTTCTCTTTCCTAAGGCATCAAGGGAAAGCAAATTCATCCATTCTGCTACCCTACCAAGCAGCTATGAATGAATACATCAAACAAACTATATATATACTACCACATATGGTACCACCATTACTATAGTTTAATACCTCAGAATCAAAGTTTAGTGTGGCCCACAGAACCCAAACCTAGTACTTAGAGTAGTAGAGTGTGAGAACAAATGTACCCCACCTAAGGGAGAATGTATTGCATTGTCATTAAAGGAGTATAGAAACTTACATGCAGTCCTAATGCCCCCTTCATTACCATACAACGCAATGCAGCTTCAGATGGGTACAGGATAAGTTTTTTTTCTGTGATGGAGCTGGCTATGTCCCTCAGCTGGAGCCTACCAATAGTCATAGACTGTTCAGGGGAGAGGCATTTAAAGACAATCACATCATCCAGTTTCTCAAACAACTCAGGTTTGAAATATCTTCTTGCCTGTATAATGTGAGACGCAGAGAGTATCAGAATAATTTGGTTAAACAACATATACACAATTTAAAATGACATCCTAGATGTGTTCCTGGAAACCAAAAAGCAAAAGAAAACTACTACAGAGTGAGGAAAAAGCAATGTGTGATCGCATTATTTTCGAATCTGGGCCACATTATTTTTATAGGTGAATTTCCGATAACAAGTTCTGGGTCTGTAGCTTTACTGAAAGCATAAATCTCTTTCTTTCTACTAAACTCACCTCTCTCAAAAGAGAAGGATAGATGCATCGATGTTTCTGTTCCCATCGATCACTATACAAGTTGTCTTTCACAGGGCAATCTTGAGACCTCCATATACAGTCGCAGCCCCACAATCGGAAGTTACCATCTATAGCATTCGATGTCAAGACAATCAATGTTTTGGTGAAATCAACAGAGTTTCCTTGGTCAACTAATACTCTACCATGACTTAAAATTTCGATCAGAACATCAACAACAGCAGGATGAGCCATATCAACATTGTCAAACAAGATGACGCTGTATGGCCTCCTCCTCACAGCTTCTGTAAGCATTCCTTCCACGCCACATTCTTTGTAACTATTGGATCAAAAACCAACATAGAACAATAGACAATTAGCAACTAAGATAAAAATTCAGTAAAAATAACTCAAAGAGAACAGCCTAAAAATGATAAACCTGGAGGGAACACCAATCAGTCGTGAGACGGAATCAGAATCCATGTACTCTGACATGTCAAATTCTGTGAGCAAGTCACTATTATCAAAAATTTGTTTTGCAAGAGCTTTTGCGTGCTCTGTCCTTCCCATTCCAGAGCCATATAGGAAGAGAAACGAGCCAACAGGTCGAGGCCCAGATCTTTGCCTCAACAAGGCATTGCTAATCAGAAATCTAACATGATCTTGTCCAATTAGCCTCTCAGCTAATCTTGATTCCAGGCCCTGCAAAGGAGGCTCTGAACATCGAAGGAGCCATGAAGCTGGAACCCCAGTCAAGGGGCCTGCTACCTGCACCACCAGTCATCAAAAATAGAAGAAAATTATCATCAGACAACAAAATTAACTGCCCAAAGAACAACTCATAGCTCTAAGCACACTAGTTCGCACCTCTGCCACTAAACGTGGAGTAACAGTCAGGTTTTCCTTGAGATTTTCATGAGTTGATAGTAGAAGCTCAGAAATAAGAGAACTAAGAGATTGAGCAACCCCAAAGATGGGTTTCATTTTAGTCTTGTTATTGGGTTCAGCTTCCTGTAATGAAGAAACTAGCCCATGGCGCAGTTGTTCTAACATGTATAGCTCTTCAGCTCTCCTTGTAGACCGTGTCCTCGACATCATTATTGGCTTTGACTTTCTCGTAAACCTATCCCACTTATCCATCAAATCTTCATATTCCTTTTGTACCTGAAGCAGTTAGATAAAAACAATTACAACTATAATACACATTAGCCATATTCATGGTCTACACTATGTTTAGGAACCTAAGAGAGAAAAGAAAAGAAATGATTACTTAAACTCTAAGAGAAAAGAAAAAAAAAGAAATGGTTGTGATTTCTCTCATTCTTGTTTGGTTAGATTTGATAAGAGAAAAGAAAAGAAACTGTTTTATGTTATATTACCAAAAACGTTGTGGTGGATATGAAAAGCACTTGAAGACATGGGTGTCAATCATTTTATTTATTTTATTTTTATAGGGACAAAATTAGTATCATGAAAATATAAAAATCTGTTGGTTTCTTTTCTCTCCAATCTCTCCACTTTTAGGAAGATTGAAAATAAAAATTATAAGAGAAATAAATTTCTCTCAATTTCTCTCCACTTAAATTATCCAAACAAGTAAGAAAAATACATATCTCTCAATTCTTTTCTTTTCTCTTCGAATCACTCAATCCAAACATATGTTTGATCACTTTTTTACTTTGATTTTTAAAGTTTATTTTTTTCTTACTTTAACTTTTCATGTTTAAATTTTTTTCATTTTACTCTTAAAACTATTTTCTGTTCAAAATTAGATAGAAAATGACACATTGGCACTCACATGGTAAAAAAATATTTTATTATATAAAACTCAAACCTTTGACATAAACTTAAACTCCATAATAATATATTTTTTTTGTTATGTGATAATTATTGTAGCATTTTCTGTCTAATTTTGAACAGAAATTAACTTTAAGAGTAAAGTGAGAAAAACTTAAAATATGAAGAGTCAAACTAGGAAAAAACAAATTTTAATAGCTAAAGTGAGAAACTGACCAAACATAAATGGTAGGGCTGTTCAAAAATCAGTTCAAACCGGTAATCCAGACCGAACCAGACCGAATCATACGGTTTGGTTCGATTCTATTAAGAATTGGTTCGGTTTCAGATTAAGAAATATGAGAACCGTAAAAACAGTTCGGTTAATGGATTTTATGAAAAAAACCATGGTTCGAACCGAACCGAATCGAATTTTAAAAGATATATATATAATATCAAGTTTTATTTTTATTAATTGGTTTTTTATAATTTTAATGATATTATGATAGTATAGATATGTAGTATTAAGTAATGCCTTAATATTATTAGTTTTTATCATGAGTTAAATGTAATTAGTTTGAGTAATTATTTTGCTAATATTAACAATTTATTCTTGTAAATAGAAATTTTTGGAACCGTAAACCAAACCGAAACCGAACCGTTTTTTCAGTTTGGTTCTGGTCCGGTTTTACAAGTGTAACGGTCTGATCTGGTTCTCAAAATCACAGAACCGTTAAGATCGGTTCGGTTCTTGAATTTTCTCAGAACCGAACCAATCCGGACCGTGTACACCCCTAATAAATGGGGCAAAGTGAAATTTAATCAAAAATTTATAATTTTAATTATTAATGTTGGTAAAATTTATCATTGACTTGAAATTATTTTTAAAAATATCCACTCATTTACAAAATTTTTCAAAAAATTAAAATTTATTAGCCAAATTGTGCGTAAACTGCCCCATATATCTGATTTTTTTAATTATAAAAAAATATTTTTTTTTTTACAAAAATTATGGAATTACGCCTATTTTTTTATGGAAAATAAAGATATGATTAATAAAATTATTTGGTGACAGAACAAATTATTGTTTTGATTTTTTTTTGGCAAATTACACTAATAGTCCCTGTAGTTTAGAACTTGTGTCATTTTGGTTCATAACTTTTTAAATACATTTGACTTTGAATTTTAAATTTTATTCCAATTAAAGACAATAAAAAATGTTTCATTTACAAATAATCTGCTTCAATGGCAAAGTCGTCATATAACTCATTTTTATATAATTTTATCTTTTGAGAGAGTAGAAATAATTTTTTTAAATTTAAAATTTTATTTTTGATATTTTTTTCATTAAATTAGTTTTTATTTTTTCAAAAGTCAAACATGATTACAATTTTAATGTCACTATTAAACCAATTCATTAAATCAAAAAAGTCAAAACTAAAAACATTTCATATGTTAAATATATCAATTACAAATTAAAAGCTTAATAACTATCCATTACATGATAACCATCCAAAAACAACAACAAAAACAACCACCCGTTGCATAATCATTATCCAAATACATACTAAAAATTAATTTGGTAAAAAAATAAAAATATAAAAGATTTATCATTTTTATATAATTTTATCTTTGGTGTGTAGAAATAATTTTTAAAAATTTTAAAATATTTTTTTTGACATTTATTTTTGTCAAACTAGTTTGTATTTTCATCTAATTGACGAATTTGCTTTTGAAATGAAGCATTTTTCATTTGCAAAGAAAACAGTGTATTCAATTGTTCTTATTTGCCATTTTGTAATATTGACATTTGCCATTTTGTATATAATCTATGACTAATTTAATAAAATCGTTTATATTTAAAGACAACTAAATAAAAACTACCCCTAAAAAATTATAAAATACGTTAATCCCTACTAATTAAGTTTTAAACTTTTTTGATGTAAGAATATGAAAAATAATAAAATACAAAAATTGGTTGGAAGTAAAAAAGAAAAAGAAAATAAAGGTAAGACAGAATAAAGAGAGAAATAATGTAAAATATTGTTTAATAACTGCACACATATGCGACATAAAAATTTAAGGGTGATGCATCAATAAATCTCAAGTTATGAATTTATACACTATTTAGTCCCAATTTTTCTTTTATAAATTAAATGGTCCCATTATAAGGAAATTGACCATTGAGAGCATGTACATAACATTCATAAGATACAACAACACACCCATACTTCACACTTTAAAAAACCCTTACACATTGAAACAATTCAAAAATCGAAATAACAAACAGACATTGGCAGTGAAGGCACCAAATTAAAAAAATGAAAACCAAATAACAACAATAGCGCATGCGTGTTAGGGCTGAGCAAGGAATCCGTGAAATCCGTAATCCGATCTAGTCCAATCCAATCCGATAGGTTTGGATTGGTTTTTTGAATCCATGGTTCGGTTCTGGATTGAAGAATTAAAAATCCGTAATTCACGGATTGGTTCTAGATTGAACTCCACAGTTCCGGATTGGAACCGATCCGGACCGTATACAAATAGTCTATATTTTTATTATACATTCTTCCCCATAATATCTTCTCTTATTCTATATAAAATCTAAACTCAAACCTAAAACCGTATAATATTTTCTTTTATTACTTCTGTTTGTTAGTTTTTAGTTTTAATTTGTAATGATCTAAATACTTATGGTGAAACCAGTTTTCTTATGGTTATTTAAGTTCTAGAACAGTATGTTGCTATTATAGAAAAATATATTGCTATTGTGGAACTAATATAGCGCTATGTTTATATTTTTATGAAATTAAAGTGTTATATATATATATATATATATTTTTTTGTTATTTAATTATGTGAATCCGTGGTCCTAAACCGATCCAATCCGTATTTAAATGGATTGGTTCGGATTGGTTCCATGATTTAAACGGATTGGATTGGTTCCAATTTTTCAAGAATCGTAAATAACGGATTGGTCCTGGTTTTACCCTAATCCGGTCCAATCCAGACCATGCTCACCCCTAATGCGTGTGTAGAATTATTTTGGTTAAATAAAATTTTATTTTATTTCTAAATTAATTAAAAAATAAAAGTTATATTCTTATTTCTTTTATTTTATTTATTTATTTTTTTTTTTTTTTTCACCAAGTGCACCTGTTTGTTTTAATATATGTTTTCAATTTTTTTTAATATAGAAATAATTAATTAATTTATTTATTTTATATAAAAATAATTTAACAATCCCATCACTAACCATCTCTCACACTATTATCAAAACAAACACATTTTTACTTAATTCCCTCACAAACGTGGCCTATAAGTGCACTTTTTGACTATTTGGTTAAAAAAGTAAAAAAAATTATATATATGTATGTTTGGGATAACTTTTTAACTTTTTATGAAAATATGTGTAATAAAATATTATAATAAAATCGAAATGACCATTTTATCCTTTTGACTTTTTGGATAGTTGAATTTAAAAGGCAAAATAATAATTTTGCCCTAGTGACTTCCCCATAAGCTACCCTTAAATAGTATAGACTTTTTTATTTTTTTTAATAATTTTATGACTTTTTAATTTTTTTTTTAATTTATCTCAAACAAGGTCTAAGAGTGCATTAAAGACGAGGGGAACATGTTCGCATCCTCTAGCTTTATGATGCAAGGCATTGTAGTACTTGGCAAGGCATTCTCTATCCCCATTTTTAATATATTGTGTCCCAAATACTTTTTTCATCCCATGACGTACCAACTCGTAATTTTGAGAAATTAATTACTTTGACACATCTTTCAATACAGAGAATGTTTGGGACTTGGTATGGGTAAAATAAAAAGAGAGGATCTCATTTTTCATTGATGTGTCAATTCTCAATTAAAGGATTAGTTAGTGTGGCATATCATGTGGTGAAAGAAAGTTTGGGATGTGAGACGAGAAAAATGAGAACATAGATCCCTCTTTGTTATACAGCTGCAAATCCATGCTTATTTTTCTTGTTCATCCCAAACACTATTTTTCAAAGTGCCAACTCTTAATTAACCCATTTTTCTTAGCCATTCCAAATCATGTTTCTACCCCATGATCTGCCAACTATCAATTAAGAAGTAATTGTATTGACAATTGTTTTGTTGTTGCAGTTCTGTCATCCCTTCAAGGGATCCAATCTCGTTCCTCAAAAATCACACAAAGTAAGTAGGTTTTGTTTAAACAACTATTGATTTGATACTGGGGGAAAAAATTAAATAAATAAATGAATGAGAAAATGCTTGGCACCATGTGAGTGTTTGGTAGATTTTTTAGTAGCTTATTTTGTATCCATAGCATTGCTCATGAGGAAATGCTTAATTTGAAAGATAAAAAGCAGCTGTTTATTTGGAATTGTATGTGAGTGCAGATCAAGTGGTATTCATTTCAGTTGTGCTTCTGGTAGCTTTGTTTGCTTTCCAAAGATATGGGACAAGCAAAGTTGGGTTCATCTTCTCCCCAATTATGCTAATGTGGTTTGTTTCAAATGCTTTAATTGGTATCTACAATATTATCAAATACCATCCCTCCATTATTAAAGGGGTCTCTCCTCATTACATATACATCTTCTTTCTGAGAAATGGCAAAACAGGATGGGAAATTCTTGGTGCAATTTTCTTGTGCATAACAGGTACCCCAATTATTTCTTCCGAAAAACTTGAAGTTTGGTTGTTTTTGTTTTTTGAGTTTTCAAAAACAAAACCATTGAAAAGTTTAAAAACACTTGCCATTTTCATGTCTCTTTCATTTTTGTGCACAAACAGGTTTTTTGAATTAACTTTTTGATGTTTCATACAAAGTGGATTTTTTCAGAATATTTTAATGAAAATAGTCTTCAAAAACAATTCGTTAAAAAATGAAAATTGGATAAATAAATAAATAAAAAAAAGAGAAAAAGAAAGAAAGGAAAACACAGCCAAACCTGGGTAAATTACAGCCGCACTCCTGTAATTTTCCTCTGATATTTGATCTTTGTAGTTCTAATTGTATCAAATTTGCCTTTGCATTTTTTATTTTGTATTAATTTAGTCTAATTAATAATGTTCCTTTCAAAATTGGATTAGAATCAAGGCAAAATAGTTCATTTAGTCTTATCAAAGTTATTGAGTGTTGACGGCTAATTTTAATTTCTGTGTTAATTGATTAATGTTCAATTTCTAAAGGAATGTAATCAATTAGATTAAATTAACACAATATGAAAAATTAAAAGGCAAAATTGATATAGTTAGAACTATGTTAACCAAATTGATACAGTAAGCAAATTGAACACCATAAGTTGCTAATCCTTTTAACTATGGTTACAGGTGCTGAAGCCATGTTTGCTGATCTAGGCCACTTCAACAAGAGAGCAATTCAGGTGATTAATTGGGAACCCCACCATTAATTAAGTGATTTCATTCATATGTAATTTTGTTAATCTAATCTAATTATGGTGGAGATTGAATTGGTATATTATGGGCCCATGTATGACATGAATTTAAGCTTTAGATTGATATTTGTAGATAAAATTTCGGGTAAAATTTTTGGGACTGCGGTAGTATTACTGAATAATACCTTTAATGAATGGTGTTCACTTGTGCAGTTGGCTTTCTCTGTCTTTGTTTATCCAGCATTGGTTCTCACCTACGCGGGTGAAGCAGCATATTTAGTTAAAAACCCAGATCAAATCGGCACGGCCTATTACAGTTCCATTCCTAATCAAGTTTATTGGCCAATGTTCGTCATTTCTACGCTTTCTGCAGTTGTTTCAAGTCAGTCTATGATATCTGCAAGTTTCTCCATTGTCAAGCAGTCTATGACTCTGGGTTGTTTCCCTCGAGTTAACATGATACACACTTCTTCCGAACACGAAGGGCAAGTGTACTCCCCAGAAATCAACTATATTCTCATGTTTCTCTGTGTTGGCCTTGTCATTGGTTTCAAAGGTGGTGTTGCACTCTCAAATGCTTATGGTAAGCCTGTCAAATGTAAAGCAGCCTCTTGAAAATAGTGTCCTGAAAAGTGCCTTGCCTATACTCTTCAATTCTGTTTTTCTAGTTTCTGTTATGGAGTATGATTTCTTGTTCTTCCACAATTGATATACAGGTGTGGTGGTCATCTGGGTCATGATCATTACGACATTTTTAACAACGCTGGTGATGCTGGTGATCTGGGACACAAATTTCCTTCTCATCTGTGCATTTTTCTTGCCATGTGTACTAATCGAAGCCATATTCATGACATCCTTGCTTAACAAAATCCCACAAGGAGGATGGGTACCATTTGTTATCTCAGTTTTCTTCCTAGTAGTCATGCTATCTTGGACCTATGGAAGGAGCAAGAAGAGTATGTATGAGGCAGAGAAGAAAATGAGTTTAGTTGAACTGAACCAAATGATGTCAAGAGGGGACGTTTATCGCCCACTGGGACTTTGCTTCTTCTGCACAGACCTTGTCAACGGAATCCCACCAATCATCCGCCATTACATTCAGCACACAAACTCAGTTCACGAAATCATGGTGATCATCACGATGAGAACACTCCCAATCAAAACTGTCCTCCCAGAGGAACGGTTGGTGGTTGGGAAACTGGGACTTGGAGTTTACAGGTGTCTGGTTCAGTTTGGTTACAAAGACTCACCAAGCATGAATGGAGACGACTTTGTTGCTTCGGTGGTGGGAAGACTCCGCGAGCTTGCCGAGACTGCTGGAGAAAAGCAAGAATTGGAATCGGCTGCAGAGAAAGGAGCTGTGTTCGTGATAGGCCGGACCATTCTCAAATCAAACAAGGACAACAGTTGGTTTTCTCGCTTCATCATAGATCACTTATACAGATTCCTTCAAAAGAACAGCAGGGCTGCAATTTCAACACTTCAAGTAGTCCCACCAGAAAATACTTTGCAAATCGGGATGCTTTACGAAATCTAGAACCAGCCCAACACATCTTCATTGTGTACCTATGTGTTTGTTAAAATGTTGAGAAATGAATTTGCTTGGCAGCAGAATTACTGTTATGGTTTCCCCTTCCAGTAATGGAATTTATAAATATATAAGCGAGAAAAACCATTTTTATCAAAATATGAACACCATCTCTGCAGGGACTTGGGGTGTGATAAAGCACTAGACTTGGAAAAGATCAAGTACTAGTACAAACAATTAAAAGCAACTTTTGAGTTTATCATCCTTTTCCAGAACCTCTTTCTGTCCATTTCAGGATTCAAGAGGAAGTTCAACTTTTTTTTTGGGGGGTGGGTAAAGTTCAGACTTGATTCTTACATAGAACTAAAATAAAAGTATTAGCAAGAAATGGGCTTTCGCCACAGACAAACACAATGAGAGCACACTTAGCCCATGGCATACTTCTGGGTCCAGCTCCTTGCAGTTGTCTCATACTTGTTCCTGTCTGTCTTGTACATGTGAGCAATCTCCGGCACCAGTGGATCATCAGGGTTTGGGTCCGTCAACAAAGAACAGATTGAAAGCAACACCTAGAAAATTGATGCAAACCATTTCAGCCACTCAAAAAGTGAAGGCAAATCCAAAACATTGCTAATAACTACTATCAAGGATTGACAACTACTAAAGGGTGTGTTCGCATCATGAATCTGGATAGGGATTTGAAAAAGGAAAAGAGAAAGATTCAGGTATAGTTTGCCTGATTTATATCTAGATGATAAACAAGATCAGTGAATAATAATCTACCCAGACCAAAAAACCAAAAGAATAGCATATAATCTAATGATAATCAACACCTGAACACAGTTTGTTTAGTTTGCATTCTCTCAATTAGTAGCATACACAGATTTTCAAGTTAGACAACACTATGCTATAGCACAAGAACCTTGGAAATCGTCAGGGCAGGGCTCCACTGCTCCTTCAAAATGTCAAGGCAAATGCTCCCATTGCTATTTATATTTGGGTGGAAAACCTTCGTCCTAAATGCCACCTGCATGATAAATCCACATGAGAGAGAGAAGAGCACACCAAGTTTGATCCCAACAATAAAAGTATCAGGAACACTAAAACAAGAAGCATTGAAAGCAACAACCATGATGACACTACAAAGACCTCAAATAGGCACTTTGTCCTGCATTGACTTCTTTAATGAATCTGGAGCCAATGTGGAGAATTTTTTTACCAAGCCTATTAAATAAGAGTTATCACAACGGCAACCCAACCTAGTTGACTGGAGATCCCAAGATCTAGGTTTAAAGGGACAATCGAGTTGTGAATGACTCAGAAGGATCATTGGAGAGTCTAACTCCTACCCATTTCTTTGATGAAATAGTGATGTCTACAGCGTTAAAGGTTAAGTAAAACTTTAATGATTCTTATATCTAGGTAAACTTAGTGGAGTATGGCAGGATACTCTTCATAAGAATCACCTATGTGAGTGTGAACTGGGCATGTTCTATGAGATTTGTGAAGGGCTACAATTCTCTAGAGCACTCATGAAAGACCTGGTTGTTTAGAGCCAAAATGAACACAATAGTAAGAACTAAACTGTGTTTGGGAATATACTGTGTGAGTTCTATTATCTTGGTTTACACAAACGGCTGAACAGTTCAAGACATCATGTTCATTATTTAGCTAGTAAATCCGATAGTGTCTCACAAGGGAAGGTTCAAAGCCAAAAGCTACATATCCTTTGCAGAATGTTTCCAATTTTTGTACTCTCTGATTAGATCATGTTGTTGCATTTTCTCTCCGTCAAATTCCATTCATGTGGGGGATTGTTGGAAAAAATGGTGTTTTATATGGCTTAATTTGGACCAACTTTGAGGCCAAAATTGAGTGGGCCCTGAACGTCTTTTGGGGTGGGTCCGAAGAGGTGACGTGTTCCTTGCCGCGTGGCAAGTCACACGGTGAAGATGGAACGTCAAAACCATTTATGAGTGAATGGGAAATTGTTTTCGGGTCTAACATTAATTTTTTAAATAAAATTCTTTTGAATTTTTTCAATAAAAACTATTGTGGGAATTTAATTTAATTCTAAATTCAAATTTTGGATTCCTGAGTGGTTTCCTAAAGTTTGTAATTGTGGGAATTTAATTTAATTCTAAATTCAAATTTTGGGTTCCTAAGTAATTTTCTAAAATTTGTTCCTCTTCCTTTATTTATTAAACTATTCAATTTGTTTAATATATATATATTCAAATAGTTTAATATATATATATATATATAGTCAAAATAGTTTATATAATAAAGTTGAACAGGTTTATTAGTGCACCTCATTTCCTTTGACTTGGTCCACGTCGGACAACTTTTCAAATTGTTTGAATTTAAGTTCAAAGTGACTAACGGTCATAAATTGTTTGAAACAGTTTTTGCACCTGTTTTCAACAATGTTATGCACCTGTTTGGGTCATTTGTAGTTGCCTATAAATACTACATTCCAACAATGTTAAAGGACCTTCGGAAAAATTAGTCTGAAATATTTCTTGCTGTCCAGTTTGTAATCTTTGGTGCATTGGTGCATTATTCTTCATTTTAGTATTAGAATAAAATTTAGAGAGTTAGAACACAGGTTTGGTTCACCGAACAAATTGTTTGGAGTACTACTACAATTTGTGAAGATCATTGTATCTTGGGAGATAGACGCTACTCAACCGTAAGTACCGTAGCGGGGCGAATCTGTCTTAAGGACAGAGTGTCACACACTCGACTTGGTCTTAATTTTAATTCGGTTCGATAAATAAATCCGGTATGTTATTTATTTATTTTGTTTGAATTTATTTCAAGTTATTTTATATACACAGAAGATTGTTCCAACAGTTGTTACCAGAACCAAGAATGAAACCATGTGGTCAGCCGAAAAACATAGAAAACAGGGACAAAAACACTCCAATATTCGCTATTGATTTTGCAAAACAATGGACTAAAATCAGCCTGTAACATCACATTAGATACACAACACACCCAAAGACCATCAAATAAAATCAACAACATCAACTGGCAACCCAAAAACATCAATAACATTGCAACCAAATAACATAATATAACATCAAATAACATCAATTGACAACCACATAACAACAACAACATTGCACTGAAAGTAACAAAAAATCACAAACATCGCATATTGGTCAGCCAAGAAACGCCAAACATAGCGACAGTAAAACTATGTGTCAACACCGAGTTTTCTTATGCACCAATAGAACAACCCAATGAACAAAACATGTTTCCAAACCCTTATAGACATTAACATTACCAAACCCCCAAACGAACACACTGAACCCCCCCAATTTAGGATACAAAAAAAGGTATTATTGTAACCTGCAAAATGTCCAAAATTAACTAAGCAACATTACCAAAAAAAAGGGAATTAACGGTACATAAGAAAACTCTTAGGACTAAATAGTTTAACTTTTCACAAAATAGAATTTATGGGTAAATTTTTCAAAATTTAAATATAAACTAATCGTTAATAGTCTTTGAAAAAGAAATAAAAAATAATGAGTTGCATGAATTTGACCTTTATCGAGTGAGGAGGTTGGGAATGGTGTGGAAAAAGATGTACGGCGGATAGAGTTTTTCAGTGAAAAAGATAATAGGTTGGAGAGAGAGAGAGAAAAAAAAAAAATTTCTTTTTACAAAATAATTATTATTTGCGGAAAGAATGACATAATCATAATAATATTTTTGTTTTAAGAAATAATGGTAAAGGTATAACAACATAATAATTAATTTTATGTAATTAACATCCATAATTATTGATTCTATAGTAAGTGATTGTAGTTCCATAACTACTATTATATTAATGAAATTCATTTGGAGAATTTAAATATTATTTTAATTTAACTAAATTAGATTTTAGATCAATTGTAAGGTACCACTTGTATTTTAAAAATTATAAAATTCAGAAAAATTGAGAAAATTAGAGTGAGACTTCTAACCTCAAAGAGGCCACAACATTTTTGCTTATATTGGCTCTATTTGAGAATATGCTAATTTTTTTGACTATTTGGCTCTTTTTAGTCTATTTTAATTTTTGTTTTTGGAAAGATTGGTTGATCTTTTTTTTTAAATTTTTATACTGAAAAATATATTTGAAATAATATTGGGATGGTAAATAACTAAAATGCCCACACAACAATGATTTTTATTTAAAAAAGAAAATAATGTTTATTCCCAAACATAGTAAGAGGTGACGTGACAATACTCTTTCATGAAAGTGAAAGCAACCAGCAACTATTGAATCATATTGGCAAATGCGTCATTTGACAACCTGTCTGTGTAGTCCTGTAAAACCACGTGATGGACTTTTGTTTGTATGTGCTTGGTTATTTTCACCCCAATCTGTGGTTTTCAAACAGTGCCGTTGTATAATGCTTAAAACATATGAAAATAACTTCCAATCATGAGTTGGTGGACTTCACAAAAGGCAGGAAAGCATACCCCAACCAAGCTAGAAGTTCTTGTAAGTAAACTTGGATCAAGGAAAAATCCATTACTAATAGAATTCAACTAAGAAAATGGATATGGAAACAATACATAATCTTTAAAAACAAAAATTTCAATACAATGAAGGCTTTTCCTTTAAATTTGAGAGAATATCATTGGTATCTATTCAATATTTTTTCTCCCTTAAGTGAATCTTTTGTGTTACAGAAAGGGAAAGAAAGTAATGTTCAACATAGAAATTGTGAACACTGCTTCATTGCAAGATTGTATGCTCTATCATGTGTTTTACTAGAACATCAACTAGCATGAAAATTCACGTAAGTCAAATAACAGCTACCTAGATTGAAAGTGTAATTTTCCAACTCTTCGCGCAAATCCATGCAAAAAATCATCTCAAATCGTTGAAGATTTCTATTGTTGTCCTAGTTACATCGTATCTCTGTCAAATGCCCCACTGAATCCCAGAGAATAGCTGTTGGAAAAATATAAGCATTGTAATTTTTGCTAATAGAAGCACCAGTCATATAGCAATTCAAAAAGAAAGAAGTTAATTACCCAATACCCAACATATTTACGAACAAAGTATACTCTCTCTCTCTCTCTCACACACACACACACACACACACACACACACACACATACACACATATCTCATCTCTTAATCTCTACCTCATATCACCTAAAGGTCCCAAATTAGCCCTTATACATGCAACTCCCCATCCCACCTGCAACTTCTCTTTCCTTTTATTTCCTCGACCTTCAAGTCTCACTCTTCATTGTAACTCCCTTACCCTCTTAACTATTTCTTATCTCTGTGTCCATAACGATAGTTATAGACATTGCGCATTAGTATCTATTCAGCACACCATCATTTGGGATCTTCCAGAAGTAATGTGTTAATTTACTAATCTAACCAATGACCTCCTCTAGAAGAAAGTCCTCAAATTTCACCTGATGAAGTTGAAACCTAAAAACCTTCAAGCCTATCAAATGTTGCTTGAATATTTAAACATACATTTAGTTGTTGGCTCCAGCTCATTCTGTATAATGGATTGCCCATTCCATTTCAACTCATTTTGCATTATAGGAGATGGATGAAAGACAAAAATTGAAGACAAACTTTGGTGGATGGACCACCATGATAGAAAAAGATTCCTTCTTCTTGCCTATAAAAGAGAGTAAAAGGAGTAGTAGTATATACACAACAATAACAGAGAGTGAATAATCTAAGAGAGTGAGTGAATCTATAAGGAAGAAGTGAGGTGTGAGAGTTGTAATCTCCCTCTGAGAATTCTATAGTGAAAATCTCTCTGTGGACGTAAGTAATTGCCAAACCACGTAAACCTTGTGTGTTATTGTTTGTGATTTCTCTTTGGTGTGCCTGTGACGCCCCAAAATTTGAGGACATCGTAATAAGGTTTAAAATTTAAAATCAATTTTCTTAATTAAGAACTTCTAATCGTTGTTGCCACCAAGCTTGTCATCATCCATTAATTATCAAAATAGAAATTAAAAGTTCTTAAATTACAACTCCAATCAAACTTAAAGTTTAGTCTTAGTACATTCATGAAAGAAAAGCACAAATATAAAAAGAAAATTAGAGAAAAACTAGATAACTCAAGAAAAGGGTTCATGGGACTTGGGCACACTTCAAGCTAATCA